CTTCCATTTTCCAGATAAAGAATCTGAAGGGCAGAGATATGAAGTGGTTCATCAAAGGTCACTGGGTAAGGTAGTGCTGGATCAGGACCCGCGTTTGATTGCACATCACGCCGCCTCAGAAAAAGAGACGAGGCCAGTCCTCTCGTGAAGGGGAGGGTCCCTGGGAATCACTCCTTTGGATGTGTATTCAGGAGGTTCCCGCAGGCGTGTGATTGGCTGGTGCTCTTCAGATCCGGAATCTGGGTTCAGAGTCGCTGAGCAGCTCTCTAGACCACTGAGTCCCAGTGGGAGTCAAAGGTTGGGTCTGGCTGGCGTCTGTGCGGCTCCCTTATCACCTCCCACGGAAGCGGAGGCCTTCCAGCCTCACACGCCAGGCTCCCGCTCCGGGACTTCCACTCACCCTTTGGCCTTCTCCCCCATGGGTCCCCTGAGCCCTCTGCGCCTCAACAGCCTGGCTGGATCCAGGTCGGTGAGGCCCCGGACGTGGTGAATCCCAGCGCGAGCTTGCCCCTGCTGGCTCTCTATTTCCTTACAGTAGCCCTCCAGCTCCTACGGGGAGCGAGGAGGACTTGTCATACCCAGCCCTGCACCTGCCGGCTACGATTCCGTGAACGCAGCTCGAGCTTCAGTTGCTTCTGCAATGTGTTATTTCTGTTTGAGCAGCCATTGCACATTGTTGCTTCATCTTTTAGCTTGAAATAAAGTAAACTCCAGTAATTTTTTGTATAAGCTCCGATGAAACTGAGGATAATGGATTTTGAGAAGCAAGAGCAATGTAAGAGGTAATGAACTCATCTGTGCTGTTTCTACAGAGATTCTTTCTTGAATGTTTGCGGGGAGTGGAGGGGAGAGAGAGAGAGTCCTATTCCCTCTTCCAAGCAACATAATACTCAGAGGAAAAATTGACTGAACACAACCTGAAAGTGCTAACAAGGTCCCCTTCTCCTTTGCTGTCTGGATGAAGGTCATGGTCGTCTTCTTACCTCGGGGGCTGCTTCAGGGCTTTTGTTAGGCTCTGGGTCTGCAGAGGAAAGTTGTTCAGCGCCTCACCACCTTGCTGGCTGTCCTCCGACTCACACACCTCTGCCTCTGGATTCAGCCCTGAGCTGACTTGGAACGAAGCGCAGCGCCTGGCCCGCAGGAGCTTCCCCCAAGTGTGATCTCGTTGGAGCTGAAAGCCCGGCCCCTGCGTGTCGGCCGGAGTGGGCCGGCTCTGAGCCTCGGACGGGCCGCCATCGCCCGAGGTCGGCAGCAGGTGAGGCAGGTGAGGAGGGCCAGCTGCCTGTGGTGTCCTGCGTCTCCCCAGTTCAGTTCTCACTATGCCCTGCTCACCACACGGCTCAAGTCTGGACAGGTGACCTTCTGGACAGTCTGGCTTGCAAGGCCAAGCTTCCTCCTCGGGCTCCAAGTTCTGCTCTTTCTGTAGACGACCCCAGGACAAAGAGCGCGAGCCCGAAGCAGCCGCTTCCAAGCTCCTGGCCCAGCTCCTCACTATGTCGCCGTCACCACCACCACCACCATCACCACAGCAGCAAGAGCGCACATGTGTCCAGTCCTCACTATGGGCCAGGTTGGCTGTTATAAATGTGTTACTTGGAAAAATCCATTTAACATTCAACACTCTGTGAGAGAGGCACTATTATCATTCCTGTTTCACAGGCGGGGACGCTCCAGCCCTGAGGGGTCCCACCAAGCCGGTCCCAAGGGGGTGAGACTATGGACCGAGACTGCAGGGACCATATTTTGAACTGCACACGCACTGTGCCACCTGCCGCGTGGTGCCGACAGCGACAGGGACCGCGCTGCTCCGTCCTCCAGCCTCGTGGGGCCGAGACCCCCCTTTCTCGCTGTCTCCCTAACTCTGACCCGCGACTGTGGCCCATGTCTTCAGCTGACTCCAGCAGATTGGCCAGACGAGATAGCCAAGTGGGGTCTCGATGGAAAAGCAAACCACCTTTTCTAGGGACGGTGGCCGTGGGCCAGGGAAGGGAAGTGAGGAGTCAGAAGTGCCAGGGATGTGGGCCAGCCCTGGGGATGTTCACAGCTCAAGTTCTCGCTTCTGGTTGCCATTTGCCCCAGGGAGTTGCCCTGGTACCTGCCCCTTCCTGCAGGTAAAATTCCACCGCACCAGGGACTGGCTTGGTTCTCAGACGTCACGGGGGCGCGGGTGTGTGTGTGTGTGTGTGTGTGTGGTAACCTCCCTCAGGGAACCACAGCGAGCCTGGCGCGTCTTCCCCAGGTGCACTGTGCGGGGGGTGGGGGCGGGGTGGGGACCTGTCAGGTAGGCTTTAGAGTTTGTGCTCCGAGTGGGCGAGGTTGGCTCTCGCTCTCTGCTGATCTACCACGATTGGCCTGGAGGATGGGGTCCCTACGGCTGTGGGAAGAGGCCCCTTTAGTGCCTCTAAGTCGGGCGGGGGGTCTCAAAGGTGTAGGAGTGGCTCATGGCCCAGACCTGCTTGCTATTCCCGTAACTACTCAGCAGTATAGGGCTGTTCTGGTGACTTAGCGCTGTGTCACAAAACACCCTAAAGCGTAGTGGCTGAAAACTGTAATTGTTTCCCTCTCTCTCCTGGTGTCTGTGGGTCAGGCATTCGGGAAGTTTGTCTCTGCGCCGCACAGTGCCAGCTGGGGAGGCCTGCTCCTTTTTGGACGTCTCTGGTTCTTCCATTGTCTTCTCACCCTCGACTCTTCCTCTCTGTCTCACATTTCCAGACCCTCTGCCCGCCCTTCTGTCCTCTTGCCTGTCCTCTCCCCGCCTCCCTGGAGGGTTCTCTCTCCCTCTGCTTCGCCACCTCCTTTATGTTTACAATCCCACGGTCTGTCTCCGCTCCTCTTTCCTGGACTTGACCTCCCTGTTTCTCATGGCTCTTTATTCTTTCAGAAAATCTTTTGTCTCTTTTCTACAATTACATGTTATTGTTTATGCTGTGGCAGTTGTCCCCATTCCCCCCTTGGCTCCCCTTCGCCAGCACCCACCCCCCACTCCCTCAGGCACTCTCCCTCCTCCGTGTCAGCGAGAGGCCAGTCTGTGTTGACGCAGGGTCTCTGCTCTGTGGGCTGAGAGGGCTGTCTGTCGCTCCTCAGCCTGTCACACTGTTAAGTCCTTAACTACAGTTGTGACAAAGGCTACTAAGAGGAAGAAATGTCCACTTGGGAGGCTGACCGAATTCTTACCCATGGGCAGGAGATGCCTGAAGAGTTAGGGTCCAAGGTGAGTGGTCAGGGAGTGAGGGGAGAGGAGGAGGGGGGCTAGAGGCTTCTGGACAGAGGGTGCACCTGGGCAGAAGGCTGAGAGGGGAAGGAGTGGGTGAGCCGGCTGCCTGGTGGTGGCGGCCGGTGTCAGCGGGCCGTGGGCTGCAGGAAGGGCAGAGGGCAGAGGGCTGTGACATGAGGCTGGCGGGGGGCGGGGAGGGGGGCCCTGCAGGACCTTTTAAAGACGGGGTGAAACTGCAAGCTTGAGAAGGCTGCGCTCGTATTGGTGCTTCTAAAAGAAGAGGCACGGATGGCTTTTGTTCCAGAACTACCTCTTCAGGCTGTTTGCATAGCAAACAGCTTTGGAAGTTGGAGATGGTGTCCCAGGGGAGGACAGGTTTGTCTGCCGTCCAGTATGATGATGACGGTAAGTGTAGCAACATTTGGGGCGAAGGTCGGGCAGGGTTGCTCGCACCCCCTTGTGGAAGAGCCTTCCTAGGCTCCGAGTTCCCCAGCGCTGCAGACTCACCCGGGCGCCGGCCCACGTCCCTCCCTGGGAACTGGGGTTGAGGTAGACTGATTTGACCAGGAAGCTCAGGCTGCCCGCTGTGTCCTGAGTAGTAGAGTCCTTTGTCTCTGGCCCCGGAGTCTCATGTCTCCTGCCAGCACCCATGCAGCTGTGGCAGGCTAACTTGCCAGAACGAAGGGTAAAATCTCTGAGCCCTCAGAGTGCGTGACAACGGTCCTACGGAATGCCTTTCGGGAGGACCACTGAGACACCCTGCACTGCCCATCCTTCCCAAACACCTGTCTCTCATGCCAGGGTCCCCTTAATGTCCTCGAGAGCAGAGCTAATTCATTCCAGACGCCCCAAACGGCCCTCCGAGGCCCCGCAGCGTGGCTCCCACCCCCCTCCCTCCACCCGCACTCCGGCTCCTGCAGCCTTTCCCCTGCAGGCAGCCGCTCTCTCATTGCTTTGCGCTTCTCACGCTGTGCCCTCCGCAAAGGGTCGCCCTCCTCTCCTTCTGCCTTTTGAGTCCGGGATCCTGCCGCACCTCCTCCATAAGGTCTTCCCAGAGCCCAGGCTCCCTTCACTGTCCCCCACTTCCCTTATGTTCTAGAGGCTTCTGTCCTTCTGCCTTGTACTGTGGCTGCCCAGGTGAACCCCACTCTGCCTCTCCCGGAAGTTTCCCACCATCATCTCCGTGATTTCAGCCCCTACAGCACATGCATGCAAAAGGAGCGCAATAGATGAGCGATGCACCGAGGAGCTGAAGTGCACAGCGAGTGGTCCTGCTGGAGGTGGGATGGAAGGGTCCTGCGGAAGAAAAGGCATTCCCAGCGAGAAGGGAGGAAACACTGGAGGCGCGGGGCACCTTGCCAAGGCAGGGGGAACCAGCACTTTGCGTGCCACTGAGATCCGGAAAGGGGGGACTAAAGGGATGGGCCTGAAAAGGTGAAGAAATGAGGCCCCGGACTCCGGAAGGCCTTGGCCATTGTGGTCCCACTCCTCTCTGAGGGCAGAAGCTGTGGCGACCCCTCTCCTGGGCCTGGGTTCCTTGGCCAGGGGCCTCAAGGGGTTGATACCAGGCAGCCCCCGTCCCTCCTCCTGCCCACCCCCCTCCGCCTGCGTCGGCCATCAGAGCCTCGCTCGCAGCCCCGAAGCCTCGCATTGACGCGGGCCCGCGCGTGAGTCAAGCCTGCGTCACGGCGCCCCGCCGCCAGGGTGGCCTTTCGGAAAGCGAGGGAACAGTGCGCGCTCCGCTCCGCCCAGCTTCGTTCCGCTCCGCAGAGCCCGGCGTGACCAGGGCGCAGGGAGGGTGGCACTAGGCTCTGGCTTCTGCAGCCCCACGCGCTCCCTTCGCCGCGGGACCTGGGTCCCCGGACCGCTCGCCAGAGCACCGAGCGAGCCGGGGGCGGGAGCTGGGCCGGGACTGGCGGCGAGGGAGAGAGCGAGAAGCGAGCAGAGTCGCAGGCGCGCGGCTCCGGGTCCCCTCCCAGCCCCGGCCCCTGCCCGTCGCCGCCAGACTTCGGCTGACCGCGGGAGGGGCTGTGTGCCCGCCACCCGTCGGGGACCGCAGCTGCTCCGCGGGAGTGCAGGGGCCGAGTCCGCGCGACGGTCCACGCGGGACAGGTAAGTCGCGGGCCGCGTCCTGCCTGGCTTTGCCGGGTCAGCCACCGCAACTTTAGCTGTTCCGGCCCCGCCCCAGCCAGGAAGGCCTAAGAACCTGGGTACGAGGCGGCGCTGCGTGTGTATCCACCCGGCTCTGCGCGGGCCCGGGCTCCTCCCGCCTCTCCAGCCTCCGTTGCCTGGCGACGGAGCCCCGGGGCCGCGCTCCTCCGGCGTTTCGGGGGTGCCTAGCGCCGTGCTCACGAGTTGGACACCTGACGCCAGCTTCCGGGGCTCCGATGGGCCCAAGAACTCCGGAGGAAATGGGGCAGACTTGCAGAGAAAAGCGCCCGGGGCTAACCGGGAGGAGGCCCGGCAGGTCTCCCCGCCGGGAGCTGCGCGCCCAGGGCGCAGTTCCCGTGGGGAGGCTCGGGAGCGGCTGGAGACCCCAGCAGAACCGCTAAGGCTTCAGGCCCGTGACCTTGACAGTCTCATTGGCAGGAGAAGCAGAGCGCTCACGCCCGAGATGAATATTTAATCCCCAGTTCTGGGGCTGGTCCTCGCTGAATTCGGAGCTAGCGGGAAGCCTGTCCTCCCTCGAGGGAAGCGCATCCGGGAGCGGGATGGCGGAGACGGGGAACATGCGCGGGGTACAGGTCTGGAGGGGGCGCCGTCTCGGGAGAGAGGCCTCCGCCACGTTTACACCTGTGCGCCCGGGGCTCGGCTCCGTAGCGATGCTCGCAGTTCTCCAGGGGCGATGCCGCGGCGTAGCAGGAAGCCTGCGTTTCCTTTTAAAGCCCAAACAGCCCTCTCAAGGCTCCAGGTGTCAGAAATCCCGGGGCCCAGTCGCTGTCAAGAGGAATTTTTTTTTTTTTAACCCATTTGGTCCCACTCCTCTTTCCTTTGGTAAATATTTTAACGAATTCTTTGGATTAGGAGCTTTCTAACCAGAGTTGTATTTGGGGCAATTCAGCTGTGAACAGGAGGCAGGTGGGGTTGTGGAGACGGGAAGATTCGTTTGAGGGCACTAGCCATTGTCAACTGAAACTTCTAGAAACTAAGGAGATCTTGTGATGGTTCAAAAAAAAAAAAATATCAATCAAAACTTTAGCTAGAGCCTGTTAGGCTGTGCAGGACTTACTAACATCCGAGGGCAAGGTCGGAGTGTGTAGAGGTTAACAACGGGGCTTCCTGTGTCTCACGCTGTGCTTGCGTTTTCGGTGGGCTGGTGAGGTGGACCATCACCTGAGCAGAAAGCGCTTTGAGGTCACGCCTGATTGTCCTTGGCCGTGGCCCATCCACGGGGACCATCAGGGGCTCCAGATCCTCTGCTGGCTTTTTCTCGAATGGAGCAGCTGTGCCTAAGTAGGTGGTGCGTGCCAGCGAGTCCCTACCGCTCAGCCTGGAGGTGACTCAGTGCAGGAGGCAAATCGTGCCCACCCGCTCCCATCGGAGGGAGCTTGTTTGGCCTGAGTCACACGCAGAATTGTCTCACCTGCTTGTGAGCTGAGTGGAGTTCGGTGCCAGGACTTGTGAGTGGGAATGGCCAGGGTTTGGGGGCCACTGGTCAAGGTGGGCAAGTCCTCGGAGGGGGCTGAGCAGACCCCATGCTGCCTGGGGCCTGGGGCCTGGGGCCTGGAGCTCTGGTCCCTGGGAAAGGCAAGCAGGCCAGGCTGGGGGTGGGAAGCAGCCTCAGGGAGCCTCTGTGATTGCGGCCAGACAGGCCAAGGCAGGACGACCTTGGTCGAGCCACTTCACCCCTGGAGCCTTGGCTTCCTCAGTCGAAATCCAGGAATGCCTACGGTGCCTTTGCTGCAGGTCAATTCTGAACCCAGTGCAGACAGGTAGCAGGTGCACGTTAAATGTGCGTTCCCCACCTCTTTCTTTATGGGCCTTAACCCGGAGCGGTTCTTTCTCTCCCTGCCCTTGCTCCTTGGTGTGAGGGGGCGCTGGAGACATGAGGGAGTGACAGGGCTTCCCATGTGGCTGAGAAAGACCCTGTAACTCACTGCAGACTGACCTACTTCCAACCCTCAGTGCTCCCCAGGAGACCCTGAAGGGGGAAGCCTGAGGAAGGGCAGGGCTCTGGGGGAGGGCGGGCAACCCGCTTGGGTCTGCCGGGGGCCCTGGGCTGTCTGCCGTGGCTCCGGGGCAAGGCTCCAGCGGAGACCTTGACTCCTCAGGATTGTTCATGACTGTGGCCTGGTCCCAACTTATGGCACCCGCTGGGTGGACTTCAGGGGTCCCTGCCCTTTGATCAGGCCTTGCCATCCTGCTCCCCGCCTGTCCGATCTGTAGTGGAGTTAGAAGCTGCAAGACCGCTGTCCAGGAGAGGTGAGGCCAGGCTTCCCTGGAGGCTCCCGGGCCCCCAGCTCCCTCCTCTGTCATGTGCCTAGACTTGGTGCTGAACTGCCCCAAGGTGTTTGCCTCAAGAGTAGAGGAAGTAAGGAGGTCCCCAGGGCAGCAAGAAAGGCCCTGCTGACCCAGGGGACTCCAGTTTGCTCCTGGACAATTGGGCATGTGTTTGCATGCATGTCTGTGTGGTCACGTGCACCCTGGAAATCAACGCCCTTCCCATGAGATCTGGCAAACTCCAAGGGTGCTAGGGACAGCGATGAGAAGATTCCTGAGAAGCAGGCTCCTCGGCCTGGGTGTCTTCCCTTCCCTCAGGCCCCTTTCCCCGTCTGGCTGTGCTGCAGGACAATTCGTCACTAATCCCTTTAAAGCTGCTAAGATAAGCAGCAAAATACTTTAAAGGGAAGATGAATTTGGGCTCCCTCCTCCCCCCAGAACCAGGTCTGAGTTATCACTTGCTCCCAGGCTGGGCTGCAAGAAGTCCTTCACAGCCCCATATCTGGAGCGCTGGGATAGGGGAAAAAATTGTCACTCAGCCCCTGCAAAATAGTCTCACACCAGCCTCCCCTGGCTGGTGTCCCCGGCCTTGTGAGGGCAAAAGCACCGTTCCACGGGTAGCTCTGCGTTAGTGCCCTTGCCCGCACTCAGGCGGGACAGACAGAGACTGTGGGGAAATGTCCGCTTGGTGAGCTCTTAGGAGGGGCGGGTGCAGTTCTGGAGTCTAACAGCTCACGCGACGCTTGTACCCAGAGACAATATCCAGATTTTCACAGAGGCTTCCACGCTGTGCTAAGTGCTTTATTCATTCACCATCTTGTTTAATCTTCACCACCATCCCAGGAGACAGAGGCTGTGTTTGGCAGTTTTGCAGATGTGGGACTTGAGGTTCAGAGAGGTTAAATAACTTGGTCAAGGTCGCCCAAGCGGCGAGTGGCAACCTGGGAGTTTGAACTGGGGTCTGTCAGGTTCCCAACTTCATGCTCGTGACCATGACGTGCTACGTCTCCATCCTAATGTTTTTATCTTAGGTGGCCGAGGTGGCTACGGAAGGACCTGGAGCCAGAAAAGTCCAGTTAAGGGCTTTTCTTTGAGGCGGGACACTGCGAGCAGGCAGGCTTGGTCCGAAAGGAAGGCAGCCCCGAGGGAGGGGGTGGAAGGGCTTTTGGGGTGTGTAGCGGACCCCCCGGAGAGGGCGAGTCACCCTGCTGATCTGCTCCAGGTGTCCTGGGTATCTGATCAGGGAGGGCTGATTCTGTAGAAAGTTCGAGGGGGAGTGGAGGGGACAGCAAGGATTCAGCCGGTTTCCAGCAGGTTGCCGGCGGCTGTGCCTCAGTTGCTTCTGATGTGGGGAATCTCGTGGTCAGGTATTTGGCCGGTGACATAGACCATCTTTGTTCCAGCAGAGGCGGTGGCTTAGGTCCCTGTCCCAGTACCTTCTAACACTCTATACCTGTTCACTGGCCCTGTAGGCATTTACTCAAATGAGGTTGTCTGAGCCTGCGGGTCCAGTTCTAGGCGCTCGTGCCCTGAGAAAGGAGGTGGTGAGCCTCTGCCAGAGGTAGGGAATGAACAGACCTCCACTTGCAAGGTTTGGAGAATGCAGTACATGGTTCCACATGGGTTGGAACCCAGAAGATGGTTCCAGGCTGCATCTTGGTGCTTTGTTGTCACGCCTGCGTTTCCCTCCCCGACTTCTAACCGCGCCCACCCCATGCCCTCACAGTTTGTCCAGGTCCGGGGCTGGGGCTGGGGCAGCGAGGGGAAGAGGCAGAGCAGCCTGGATGTGGCCGGGAGGAGTTTCGCATCTGCAGAGTCAGGTGGGAACTCTAGTGTGTCAGGTTTCCCTGCTGGAGAGCACAGGCCAGCGACGAGCCCGGGGCCTGCAGTGGCTCCTGATGAGATCCCCGAGCAGAGCTGCGAACGCTCCGGGGCCATTTGCCGCCGCTGCCTGCACCAGCCACTCAGAGGGGCGCTGCTTGTTTCCCGGGCTCGTCCCCTGGAGGGCCTACCCTCCTCGCCTTTGGGACTCTGCCACTTGCGTCCTCGGCGGATCTGGGAAACTTGGCACGTGCTTCTCTCCATCTCCCCTCTGTCTGAGAAGTCACCGTCCCCGGGGAACGGGCCCACACGGCCCTGGCCTGCCCGGCACCTGCAAACCACGCGTGACCTCGGCGGGAAGTTCCTGCAAGTGAGGTGGGTAGCTGGGCGGGGAGCACTAATGCTCCCCCAGCCCCCGACGGCACACGGCGCCCTTCCCAGACACCCCTGCCCCACAGGCAGCCATTTTGTGGGTGCGCAGTCCTTGTATAATCCCGCCCCCAACCCCAGCATGAGTAATTTTAAAAATTAAAACACTGTTCATCTATGAATAAATTCAGGTATTAAAAAACACAATTAATATTCACCGTGTACAGGAAGCTCATGAGAACAGAAGCTCAGGCGCAAGATGGATTACGGGACTACATCATTCTCACGTTCAGAACCAGGCATACTCCTTAGAGAATAATTCTGGGTCACCTGAGTCCCGGGTAGCCTGCGTCCCCAACTTGGGAGGTGAGACTAGGGCCTGTTTGCTCTGTGGCCTCCCTGGGCAAGCGCAGGGCCAGAGGACATCACAGCCCCGCTCCTAGGCCAGGGGTCACCTCACCAGCTGCACTGACCCCACCGAG